ATCTCCGTTTTCAAATTTCTCCGGCGTAGTGTGGACGGAAAACATTTGATGCGTTTTCAGAGTGAAATCTCCGTTTTCAAATTCCTCCGGTGTAGTGTAGACGGAAAACACTTGATGCGTTTTCAGAGTGAAATTTCCGTTTTCAAATTTCTCCGGCGTAGTGCGTACGGAAAACATTTGATGCGTTTTCAGAGTGAAATCTCCGTTTTCAAATTCCTCCAGCGTAGTGTGTACGGATAACATTTGATGCATTTTCAGGGTGAAATCTCCGTTTTCAAATTCCTCCGGCGTAGTGTGGACGGAAAACATTTGATGCGTTTTCAAAGTGAAATCTCCGTTTTCAGGGTGAAATCTCCGTTTTCAAATTTCTCCGGCGTAGTGTGTACGGAAAGCATTTGATGCGTTTTCAGAGTGAAATCTCCGTTTTCAAATTCCTCCGGCGTAGTGTGTACGGAAAACATTNTTTTACTTGACCAGAGCAGTTTTAAAGTTACATGTATTTGCATTACTACATTGATTGATTTGCTGAAAAAAAATTGCATAACTTTCTTCTTCAATCAGAAGTAAAATCAAAACAAACTGTGACTGGCACCTACACATTTTCCTGAAGTTCGCATCAGCTACATGTTTGCCTTGACTAATGATTGGTTAACTGGACTCTGTGTCCTTAGTGATTGGCCAGAAAAATTTCTTTGGTTTTGGATTCAACACACTAGAGCAGTTTTCAATTGAGCGTTGAAAGTAATTACACAATTATTTTGGTTTTGGTTTTGGTTTTACTACGGTTTAGGATTGGTTGACTAATCTAATTGGTAAGTAATTGGTAAGTAATTGGTTTAGTTTTGGTTTTACGACACTCAATTGAAAACCGCTCTAAACCAGTTTTAAGTTCCCGTAAGAACACCCAAAATCTTTATCCAAGCCATTCTTTTTTAATTTTCTTTTTCTTTTTTGTAATTTTTTTGTCCTTATGCCATTCTTGAAAGCCAAAAGTGGGTAAAACATACCACTGAATGATTTCAGCAATCTGGGCTTCCCAATGAGCGACAGCATCTTTCTTTTCATTGCTATCTCTCATCTCTTCTTCAAGTTTGCGATGAGCAGAGACGGTACGTTCCAATGTCCCAGTCAACTAAAGAATAAAATTAACATGGCAATTAATATCCAGGATTTCAAACTCTAATTGATTGATTTATGTAAGAAGATTATGGAGTGGATCAAACGTTAACATTCAATGACACGAACCTTGTCAATGTCAGCTTGAAGTTTCTTGTTCTCTTCTTCAAGAAGTGTCTTGTTTCTCTCACTTTTTCTTTTCAGTTCTTCAACTGCTTCTTGATGCTCTCTATGACTGTAACAAAGAGACAGGCTTAAAAAAAAAAACAAAAAAACATCCAAGCAGCACTTTCACATGGTACTGTACACAGTAACTCTAGCTTTTGAGTCTGTGGATGAAACCCAAGTGTGTGACCATTCAAATGAAAGCTATTGAGCCGTATTTTTGTGTACTGTTTATTATTAGTGTGTAACATTAAATTAAGGGATATTGAGTAGTATTTTTACTCATTCAGCACTTTTTGTTATTACATACCTGTCCATTCTTGCTTCATTCACCTTGGCAGTTAATGCTGACACCTGAAAAATAAGCCAGATAATTATCAGCCATTCCACTGAAAACCCAAGCATATGGTGACAATGAAGACTAGTGGTTGAAACGTCATGATCTACATCACAGGTGTCCACTGCCTGAGACAAACAGTCATACTTTATCTTTATTGTTCTTCACTTTGAATTACCTCATTCTTCAAGGCCACTCTGCCTGACTCCATGTCAAGAAGCTTCTCTCTAAGTTCCTGAAAAAAATGAAAATAAACACAACAAAAAATCAGTCAAGAACACCAACACAACTCAGATCCTTCATGCTTATGTAGGAAAGAAAACAAGATAGACACGATCAAGAACACTTTATACTGTACCATTTTGCTATTTATACATCACATGAAACTTGCATATTATGCGATTAAACATACCACTCATTATAATCAGAAAAATTTAAAAACAGATAGACTTACCTTGACTTCATTGGAGTGTTTTTGTTGCTCTTGTGTAGCAGTTTCCTCATATTCCAGTTTGAGTTTCTCAATCTCTGCTTTCAGTCTGTGATCAAACAAGCAATCAAAATATTACAAAGTCAAGTGTATAATATTCTGTTCTTAACTTATTTTGCAAAACACCAAGACTAAACAACTGTAAAAACACCAAATTAAATGAGTGAAAGCCAAATTCAAGTTGGACAATACACTTTTAAAGACAATCAAGAAATAAGCAATTATTTTTTAATCAAATTCCATATGGTGTCCTTGTTCCTCTTTTTAAAACTTGCTATCTACAGTTCGGATCGCAGTAATTACAAATGTATCAGAGATTGCAGAACTAATCAGGTATCAGGATTCAGCTTGTAACAAGCATAATGTAATACCTTGTAATTTCCTGCTGCTGCTCTTCTGCTGTTGTGTCTGTGGGAAATGGTCTCCCCAGACTTCTCTGTTTGGCCTATATAAGTAACATAGAATCAGCTAAAATTATGATAAATGACTAGTACACTACCCATGTTTTGAGTGATGTTTTCAAAAATGTGTAATAAACAGCACTGTTAAGTTATCAAATATTACCTTCAAGTATTCAATTTCTTCCTCGAGTTGTTTTGCATTCTGAAAGAGGGAGGATATGCTGTGTTATTAACATTGCATAGTTATATCTCTAGTAGAAGGAAACTTTGCATCTGTCATAGATACCAATTAAGGAGCAGAGAAGTGCTAAGAAAAACCAGGGCAATGTAACGCCACAGGTCTTCAGAATCAGCACTAACTGTACTCCAGTTTTCGTCAGCAACTGGACAGATATCTCTTTAAAGTTATCACCTTTGTGTTGATTTGAAACTTGAAAATAAACACACATTTCTCTTTGTGTGACATTTCAATAGTGGTTTCAGGCCATCACAATCGTATCAACACAAAATTCGCTATGAAGATACATCTTGTAGCATCAAGCACAAGACAACTTGTACAGAGGCAGTACTGACACAAGGCAACACAATAAACAACATCTAGCAATCCTAATCAGTTATTAACCTGGTCGCTCCTTGCTCTAAGTTTGCGTTCCTTGTTAGCTTCAGCTGACATTTCCTCAACCTGAGCTGCAAACTGAGAATAAAAACACTTCCATTTGTCCCAAGCTCAAAATCTAGACTCTCCTTAGCCATTGTCAAAAATCCACTTAAAAGTTAGTTGCAAGAATTTGGTGACAAATCAGATTAAATCAACATCCTGAAGTTGACAAACTGGTTAGAATGAAGCTCGTTGCCATTTGAATTTCTGTGTTGACAACATGAACACTCAACAGCAAATTGCTATTTGGACTGGTTACAACAGCCAAGGGAAAATTTCACAAAATTAATAGGATACTGCGTGTGAAAAGTGAAAAACTCATATAATGCGTTTTCAATGACAAAAATGTTTTCAAAAAGGACTTACTTCTCTTTTCTTTCTATCAGCGTTTCGCACTTCTTGCCTGAGACCATCAAGCTTTTGTAATGTTGATTCTGTAAAACAGTTAAAAGACAAGGGGTTAGAGCTGTTTTCAGTAGTGTCAAAATGAGTAATTACTTTGGCCAATCACAAAGGGCACAGAAAATCCAGTGGACCAATAAAAACTCGAAGCAAATCCATAAAGCTGACAAAGAGAATGGGAAAACATGTACAAGCAAGTGGAGATTGATTTTGGATTTACTTCCAATTGGATGACAAAATAGCATGAATATCGTAAGCCAATCACATAGCATACTGATGACTTTGGTTTTGGTTTTACAACACTCATTTGAAAACTGCTCTATTAATAATATTTTACAATTAAGATTCAGTAATCAACAACAACAGTTAAAAGGAAACCAGCAAGTCCTTACCCATTTCTTCTTCCTTTTCCCGAAGCATTCTTGACACCTTGGTTTTTTGTGATCTTATATCAGCCAGCTTATCGTTTAATTCACTAAACTCTGCCATGGCTAGTTTCCTTTGACTATGTGCTTCCTTCAGTTCCTTCTGTTGTGCAGCTATTTTTTCATTCGCCTCCTGAAGAACCTGAAATTATCAAGCAGGGAAGAAATTTAGATTCTCTTTTCTCAAGTTCACTTCCACAGTGAAAATATAGATCATCACCATCATCTGTCCTCATTGCACCATCGGACACATAAGCCCTTAGATGCCAGTGGCTTAAACATTTACCAGAGAGCTGTTGGAGGTGGAGGGAAGGGTTGCTTCAGGGTTAAGCCCTTAACTCAGTGTACTGATTCTCCCTCTGCCATCAATACATCTACCTTTGTTCTTATTGGGACAATTTTGATGAAGAATGGCTTCCTTTTGGCCTATGTTCACAACGTGCATTGCTGATATTCTGAGGAGAGCATTTAAGTGCTAATCAATATCAGAAGATCCGACTTTGCCTGGCCTTTTTCACCTCTTCTTTTCAAACATTACAGTTTAATGTTAGTAGTAACAAATACAAAATCATTTTCCACAGAATTTATACAACATTGCAACTGCTTGGCGAGAAAATAAAATAGAACCAACCCTTTCAATATCCTCTTTCTCCATTTTCAGGCCCCTGACCTCTCTGTCCAGAGACCTCATCTTGGAGCTCATTTCTACAAGAAAAGAGAGCTTCAGTGAACCTAAGGTCTTGTCATTAAATAATATACACTAACATCCCGGTCACCAAGCCACAGTTACCGCTAAACTGTAAAAATGTTACTATCCTTTAGTAAAATAAGGTTACCTTCATTGTTTGACTCCAGGTCTTTCCTTGATGTTAAGGCATCTTGAAGTTCTTTTTCTAAATCTGCGGATTGAGCTTCATACTCTGTTGATTCAAAACAAAGTGAATTAGAGACAAGTATCAACATGTATGTACATAAGTAATTAACCTTACTTTTCTTTGGTCAACATGGCTTTTAACTCATGCAACTAACTCTTTCAATTCATTCCGTGATTTCTTAGTGCTACAATCACAAATGAGAGAGTTTCTGTTGGTTTAAATTCTGCAAAAGAGGTTGAATTGGGCAGTTGAAGAACAACTTGCTCAAACAGGAAACATACCCCAACCAAGGTTCTACTCACCCATAATTTTTTTCTTCATTGATGTCATTTCATCTTTCAATCTCTTCACTTCCACTGAATCCACCACGTCACTCTTGGGTCCATCAACTGACAGCACTTGATCTTGTAAAGCTTTTGTTGATTCTACATCAGCACAGTATAGCAACAATTAATCATACCAAACAATTAATCATAAGGACTAAGCTGTAGATGAAGCATGGAGTGATCCGATCTAGTGAAAATCAAACAAGCATAGTGGGAAGCAGAATAGAGATTCCACTTATGACTTGTTGCTAAAGATCTACTAATTGTAAGAGATGCAAGCAGAACCTGAAGAATAAACCAATCACAATGCTTGATTCCAGGCAGCATGATTTCTTGATTCTTTCGCATCTGCTTCAGACTCTGACAATTTCATGTTCACTGGATCATAAGTGATGGTGTCATACAAGGAATTGGTTCCATCAAGCTTATAGCTCTGCTCATGACTCCAATTTAAGTCATGAGTTAACTTACAACTCCAACTCCATTGCTAATTAGTGAAAGCAGCCTTTAACTTTTGATTGAAAACAATCTGCGAACCTAACAGCAGTAAGTGACCATCCACTGTAGTCATATTTTGTTTTCAAACATTGTGCAAAGATAATGACTTGAACAATAATCCAACACACCTTGAAGCTTCCTGACAAGCTCCGTTCTCTCTCTCTCAAGTCTCTGTATTCTTCTTTCATAAGCTTCAACAGATAGTGAGCTGGGGACTAGACAGATTTTCATATCCAATTAACATACTGCTGAGATTAATTTTACAGATAATTATTACCACACAGATTGGCTTGTCAATGATATTTTGTCTCGATGCGTGAAGAATATTGTGACTCAACGTTCAAGTGTTATTTTCCACATTTAGTCAAACCAAGTTGCAACTCATCTATCAAACATGTTGACTTTTTGTCTTTTATATCACTCCAGCAACTGCACTGTACATTTTTGTTTCAAAATTGCTCAAAAATTTTTTGTGTGTGTCAGTGGGTCAATGTTTTGACTCTATAAACCTTTCCAAATACAGCTAGCAGTATGCGAGAGAAACATGTAGTAAATGAAAACAATGCATTTGATGTCTATAATTAAATTATTTGTCAAAGGTGTGAATCTATGAGCATGTTCCTTAAGACAAATCATAGACACATATGCAGTGTTGACAGCTAACAAATTTTGGAACTTCACTGATTAAGCGTCAAGTATCACTTAAAGGACAGGAGAGAAAGCACTATTTCTCTAGAGTTTGCAAGAAACAAGTATTTACCATTGTTGGCAACAGGCTCCAGAGTGATATCTCCAGCCTCCTTGACTACAGTTTTAGCTCTATCAGACAGCCGGCTAGAGTGCAAGAAAAAATATGTATAAGTATGTATTTCTTTTCCGGCTTAATTTTAACTTGTATTGCATTATTTTCCACTGGGAATCGCAGTGGAATCCCAGTTTTTCAAACCTCCAAGGGAAAAAAAAATTAGTTTGAAAAAATGGCTGGTTTGTGAAATTCGGGGTAAAATTGGTGTTTGATTGAGGGGAGGGGAACAAATTCTGGTTAAGTTATCATGGTGTTCAGAATATCAAGGGCTCAATAACTCAGGATTCCACTGTAAATGAGATGTTTTCTATTTAGCTGAGAGAAGCAAAAGAGAAAAGAAGACACATTATGCAGGGTTTGACAACTCCACAGCCAGTTCAAACTTTTCTGCATGAAACAGATTCCTACTTCCATGACACCTCCTGCACTCCCAAATTCCAATTTGATCCAGAAACAGTGAGCGTGGCACTGCTATTTCCAATTTCTTTCATGTTATTGTATTTACTTATTTCCTCATTTGCTTATTTGTTTCACCTGTTCTCAGTAAATGAAAATCCAATAAATGGCAAATGATGTCCAGTGAAAGGTGACACAGAGGATGGCCTCACAGCATCCTACAAAAAAGTGTTGTAATCAAGTTTCAATTCATGTATCCTAAGAACACTTAACAACCTTGACAAATTGCACACAGAAACCTATAACAAGGTAGCAAAGAACAGAGAAATTAAATTCACAAAATCTAATCATGTCTTCCCCTGGTAAAAACCCCCCTGAGATATTGAATTCTCAGATATGATAATTTGAGTCTAACTGAAAAACTACCCCATCCCTTTGTGTAACAAAACCTTATGAAAGTCAATGGTGAATCTTCCCACATGCAGGTAATTTTTTATGTAGCAATAACGTCACATCATTACAAAAAAAGGAAGTTCTCTGCACATACATTTGCTCTTGAGTCGTCAATGTCCACATCAAAATTTGAAGTGTCTGATGGACTGCTGACCTCAGGAATGTATGGAGCGACAGCTGAAACAACAACAAGACAACAATAATTAACGCCCAAGTTGCTAGAGGAGGGAAGGTGCCTGCGAAGCCCGGGGGCTGCAACCGCAGTCACATCCCAAGGCACTAGAACACCCGACTGGCCTGCCCAACCTGCAACCAANGGCCATTATGGTGAGTGCCCCCCCCCCCCCCCCCCCCCTTCAGGCACCCATTACACTCCAGCCAGATAGCTCAGTGGAAAAAAAGACCGCTGAAAAAAGGGGGGGATAGGGAGGGAAGGCCGAGAACCGCTAAACTACTATAATTCAACTGACAATGCCATGCTAACAAAGCAACGAACACACTGCAAGCACATGGGACAACAACAGACGTACTAACCAAGAATACCGCTGGACAATGTCAGCCCCAAGGCTCCCACAACCATATGACTGCAGCAAACGCTACAGAATGCAACAAACACTTAACAAATGTTAACAGACGGCCAAGACGCTAACAAACACCAACAAAAACGTTACTACCCAGACTAGCTCCTAGTCATTAACTATGTTAAATTCCATTTAACTATATATAAACTGATTCTGAAACTTTTAACAAATCAAGCCAAAAGTATCAACAGTGTCATGGTGTTCTACTGAGATTAACTGCTTTAGGTTGGTCAAGTTAGTTATTATATGTACACACACTTGCCCAGAGACATGGTAACACCTTCATATGAGCCATGTGGCTCATAAAGCCAGAGCTTATCTTGGTCTCTGTAGCATGAAGTGACTAGGAGTATTTCTACTCCCCCCTGGATGGGATACTAGCCAATCACAGTGTCTTGCCCATAAACAAAACACATTGGCTTGAACCCGGACTGCCTGATTTGGGGAAGAGTGCACTAACCATGAGGCAACCATGCCTTCCACACCAAGAGACATGTATATTAACCAAAACACTTTTTCCTGCCCACAACACATCCCAACTAACTTTAAGTGCCTCAGTTAACCCAATCAGATCAACAAAAACTGACTGCAGTTTAAACAGCCGGTCTCAATCAAACACAACCTATTTTTAACAACATTAATCCACCAATCATAAAACCATAAATTAATGACTTCCCAAAATGAAACTAAACATGGTATATTCCTAATGAAAATATAAAATATTAATTACAACTTACTATCACCAAGGTTGTCCCAATCAATTCCCTCAAAGAAAGGGTGATTTCGAAAGTCGTCAATTCCATTTTGACCTAATCGCTGCTCCATTTTGCAGCACAGTCTGAAAACAAAACAACAACAAAATAAGTTCAATATTGTGAATTCTAATCAAATTTGGAAGAGGATAGGTGGGTGCAGAGAGACTCATTACTTGATAAAATACCATTTGTTTGTAACTACATATATGGAGGCTAACTGTGTTCATCAGGCCAGTACTTATCTCCAATTTCTGTGGCATTAAGCAACAAGGAGTATTATTATATGGCTAGCTCTGTGAGTTGGCCAGATGAACCAAATCCAGCACTGTGATTGGCTAGATGCAGGCAAGATTGTGCTATCTTGCCCACTTCAGATTACCTACTGTGTCCCGCAAGAAAATGGTGTTATTTTGCTACCTGATAAATCCTTTATTGACACAGTTTGTTCTTTTAAGATGGCTGAATATTGACTTCATTCCTATTAACTGTGTGATTATGGACCTTGACCTTGTCTCAGTCCATAAACACACAAAATATGAACTTAGCCAATATCCAACCATCTTGACCTCATGCTTGGTCAATAACCCAGATATACAGTCCCCTTAGTTCATCGCAGGGTTACACACAGCATTAATTTTCCCAGTACACAATTATACACCTGGGTATACGTATACACCACATTTATACACCACTGCAAGTGTCTTTCCCAAGAACATGACACAATGTCCCCGGCCAGGACTTGAACCCCAACCACTTGATCCGAAGGCGAGCGCACAAACAATAACCCACTGCGCCACCTGCCCCCATGCCTGCTGTGATGTAATAAACTAGGAAAAACATATCATCTAAGTGTAAACAGACACTAAAACTACTTGACTTGAATAAACTAACCTCTGCATTAGATCTCGTGCATTATTGGACACTTCTACACCAGAAGGAAAATTGAATTTGCCCTGTAAAAATAATACATACTGGTGAGAAAGAAATTAATGATTGTTTTACAGTGATTCCACTCCAAAATGAGTCCTTGACAATAATGTGATGGACTTCATTTTGTTAATCATTACCATAGGTACACCAAAAGAATCAAAATTTGCTAACAATATTTGGCCTCAGTCATAACTGCAATTACTCAATATTATGTGAATTCATATAAATAAAACAAACAATACATGGAAACTAGAAAGGTTTTTGATAAAAGAATATTGCAGAATTAAATAATCATTCAAGCTCAAATAACTCTTAAGGTGGTCTTCTACCAAATTCTCAAAACTGATATACACTGTATATAGCAACTGGTAAAGAGAATCACTATTTTGAACTTACAGTGTGGCTCATGATTTTGCTGTATGTTTCCACCAGTGATTCTGCATAAAAAGGAGTTTCACCAAACAACATTTCGTACATACAGACCCCCAACGACCACCAATCGCATTCAACACCATATTTCCCTCTTCCGTCCTCCATGGCCTGTGCACAGAAAACAAATGATTACAATTAATTAGAATTCCATTTTAGCAGCATCAATGTAGTTAAGGATGGATTAACACCACCAGGCCTCAGCATCCAATTAACTCCTTGAGTGCCTATATGGTGTACTCAGCACGTCATGAGTTTTGTCCCTGAGATGCCTATATGACATACTGGGTATACTGTATAGCCAAACTTCCGGCACAAAGGAAACAACTTTTATTGGCATCTGAGATTCGTAGAAGGTTTTTCAAGAGACTGCTAATTTCCCATTGCTGTGATGTCATATGGATATCAAATTATGTCAACCTCAGTGAAATTACCCACATTGAAGAGACAATTCTATAATCTTTCAGAAAATGCATTCAAGTCTATAGTTTAAGTGAAAAAGTTTATGGCATATGAAGGTTTTTACTACACACCCATTTTCAGTGGAAATGGTATGGCACACAGCATTCAAAGCGGTCAGGCACTTGAGGGATTAATTACCTCAGAATTACATGACAGATGACACATTAACAGACCTGCCAATCTCTGATAAAGGGAAATCCGGAGACCCATAACAAAAATCAGGAGATTCTACAAAAGTAGCGAGACTCTTTTTTCCTGATAAAGATTTAGTGATAAAGATACAATGAACCCTTTTTTATATTTGATCAGATTGCGACCGCTTCCCTGTGCTGTGCATGCATCATGAACTTGCAAAGACCACAGGGAAACTTGGCATTGAATCAAGGTCCATTTACAAGACCCAAAGTGGACAAGGCTGCTATGTTTCTATGTTTAAAATGCNACGACCACCAATCGCATTCAACACCATATTTCCCTCTCCCGTCCTCCATAGCCTGTGCACAGAAAACAAATGATTACAATTAATTAGAATTCCATTTTAGCAGTATCAATGTAGTTAAGGATGGATTAACACCACCAGGCCTCAACATCCAATTAACTCCTTGAGTGCCTATATGGTGTACTCAGCACGTCACGAGGTTTGTCCCTGAGATGCCTATATGACACACTGGGTATACTGTATAGTCAAACTTCCGGCACAAAGGAAACAACTTTCATTGGCACCTGATATTTTTCAAGAGACTGCTAATTTCCCATTGCTGTGATGTCATATGGATATCAAATTATGTCAAACTCAGTGAAATTACCCGCATTGAAGAGACAATTCTATGATCTTTCAGAAAATGCATTCAAGTCTATAGCTTAAGTGAAAAAGCTTATGGCATATGAAGGTTTTTACTACACACCTATTTTCAGTGGAAATGGTATGGCACACAGCATTCAAAGTGGTCAGGCACTTGAGGGATTAATTACCTCAGAATTACATGACAGATGACACATTAGCAGACCTGCCAATCTCTGATAAAGGGAAATCCGGAGACCCATAACAAAAATCAGGAGATTCTACAAAAGTAGCGAGACTCTTTTTTCCTGATAAAGATTTAGTGATAAAGATACAATGAACCCTTTTTTATATTTGATCAGATTGCGACCGCTTCCCTGTGCTGTGCATGCATCATGAACTTGCAAAGACCACAGGGAAACTTGGCATTGAATCAAGGTCCATTTACAAGACCCAAAGTGGACAAGGCTGCTATGTTTCTATGTTTAAAATGCTCCGTCGTAAAAAAAAAAGTTAAATAATTATTCAACCAAATAAATGCTCCAAGAGTACCTGCAGGATTTCAGGAGAGATGTAGTCAGGGGTACCCACAGCAACTGATGACCTAACCTGTAAAAAGATCAATAACATGGCAGAGTTTGCATAACTGTGCACCTTGGTTACTATGTTTAAACAGCTGTAAAACAAGTTAATTAAAAACTAATTTCTGTTTAAGCACAGATCCACTTACAGTGCCGTTTTTGCCAAGCTTTGAACAAGAACCAAAGTCTGCCAATCTGATGTGTCCACTAACATCAAGAAGAACATTGTCTGGCTTGACATCCCTGGAAAAAAAAAAAATATCGGTGCGAACTTCTGAAAGAGCAGTCTGCAGCCCGAATGTAGTAACCTGTAAGAGCCGGCAGCTGGCTAATTTCACCAGCTAAGTGAGAGCCTATCACCGGCACAAATTTCACAAGAAAACAGAGTTTTGGAGTAAGTCTTTTAAGGCACTAAGCCCAGAGAAGCCAGCGCCTGTTTAGTGTTTTCTTAGCAATATCCCAGGATATACACAGTGGTATGTGGAATTTAATTAATAAATGGTATGTTTATTTTCATAATAATAATAAACCTAGTCCTGAAATTGGCAAAACAATGTCCAAGTTTTTGTGTTTTTTTTTGTGTTTTTTTTTTTCTAAATATATCTTCTTCTAAGTTTCTCCTTTCTTCATTCTCTACTTTTGTTATCTTCATCAGACAAGTGCGCTTTTTTCAGCAATGCATTAAACATCTATGTGAGTCCTAAGAGTATTAATATATTTATTGTTAATTACAAATGTTAATTATACTAGAAATAATTATTATAACAATTGTCAGTATAGAAACAACCAGCATTATAATATTATTCTAATATTGACACATGATATTTTAAAATGTGCAACTTGCATCACAATTATTTATATGTGTGAATACCCAATGGGAAACAGCTCTTAGACAGAACTAAGTGACACTGGCACTTAGTCTAGACATGATTATCTTGTGTTTTATTATTTTTTAATTTTTTTACCACACCTGTGCACGTAGTCCATTTTATGGATAGAATTGACGGCTAGCACCACCTCAGCCAGATAAAACTTGGCCATTTCCTCCGGTAAATGATCTTCATATTTACTTAAGAGAGTCAAAAGATCACCTCCGCTATAATAATCCATGACAAAATACTGCACAAGAATTAAAAAAAAAAAAACACTGTTAAAACAGATTTAAAGTAAACTCTTAAATACTACATGGTTGTATTTACGCCTTCAATTTCCAGCTGAAAATATGATCACATACTCCATGACAGAGCTGACCAACCTTCTGGTTCCTTTAATTGTTGGGAAGGATTGTAACAAACTTAACCTTTACCTGAATGCATTCTAATAATTATTATAAGGACTGCTCAGCACTAGTCTACAACTTAAGACATATACAACAATTTCCACAATTCTCTTTGGATGGGGTGCTAGTGAATCAAAAGTTAACCCAACGTTTTAATAAGGTTTCCTGCCATAAGCTGCTACCCTCAACATGCCTGGGTGAAAAGCCGCACTGTACATTTAAGTGCCTTGGCATAGAACACAATACACTGATACTGGCTGTCCAGAGTGCCAACACCCGAGCTGTACCAACCACTCATTCGAACACTGCGCCTCTTATTTTCCTAGACACAGCATTGTTAAAGCGGACAAATCAAGCTGCAGCTTCTTACCAAGTAATCAGCATCTTGAAAAGCATAATGCAAAGTAGTGATCCATCTCTTATCTCCGTACACGAGGACATCTCTTTCCTCTTTGAAGCACGCAGTCTATTGAGTAATAAGTAAATGAAAGCGTTAACACACTCTGCTTTTTCTCGGGGTCTGCACAAGAAAGGAAAAGAAGCCAAGTCTGCAGAGGAGGGCTTTTTCACAGCTCCCACTGTTAATACCCTCTTTTCTACCAACACCAAGTTATGGTTTGAATTTTTATGAACAGTTACAGGATTATTGACAGGGGATCACTGGATAATTAACACTGACCTGGATTACTTGAAAATTACTGGCGATATAGACAAAAAGTATGTTCTTCTAGCATGGGATTCTTCAATGTTTTGAACAAGTCTCACAACAGAGAAAGACTCATGAACTTATGATTTCTATTGTTTGACTAGAGTTCATAAAATGTCATCCCATGAAGCGTAGCAGTACAGTAGTTTCCACATAGAAAGCTGTTTCGAGGAAAAAGTGTGCTGCAAAAAAGTTATATCTGTGCAGGGCTCCCAAAACGTGTCGACGGGTTGTCTGGGACAAGTAGATTTTCCCTCTGGGCAAGTAGCTTTTAATTCTAATTTGCCTGATAGGCAAGGGATCAGGTAGTCGTCTGTCAACTGTATCATTAAAAGAGCAAATGAAGACTAGCCCAGGCAAGCAAAATTTTAGAGCTACTTGTCCCAAGGGCAAGCTGGAATTCAACTTTTTTTTCCAGCCCTGCTGTGATTCTAAAAATAATTCAATTTGCAAAACCAGTCAACAGAGCAGAGATCACATGGAAACAACCTTGCTTTGTGAGTAGAAAGCACAAATTAGAAAATATGCTAAATTGAACAATAACAAAGAAAAACTTTATTGTGCAGCAGACCAAGCTTAAAAATCTCTTCAAGTTTGGGTAATTACTCGCTATCCTCAGGCTACATGTATTAATTAAAAGTAAAACAGAATTATAGCTTAGTTCTTTCATGGCTCAAATATTCTTCAAAATACTAAATAAATCCTGGAGGTATGCACAATGTCTGCTATATTTGAACCTACAATTCTAGTTTTATGAGCAAACTAGCTTATACAAAGCTCCTGCACATGTAGCACTAGCATAAAACCTGAGCGTTCAACCAGTGTGCAGAAATTCAGAGTTACGTAATGACTCCTGTTGTTGTCGCGACAAGCGCCAAGGTTCTGACTAGTGCACAACATGAACTGTTCGGTGAAAATTAAGACTAAAACTATGCAAGTGAAACATAGGTATGTTTGATTTACATCTGATCATGACAATTCTTGTTATAAGGTTGTGTCAAACTTCCCACATGCAACATAGGTGTACAACTAAAATCAGCACCAAAGAGTTTCAATTAGCTTGTGCAACTAAGTGAGTAACATTTTTCAGTAAAATTCGCATTGCTACCATGCATAACATATTCCATTAATTCTAAGCAACTTATCTTACTTCAGATCAGGAATTAACAATCATTCTATATATTGCTGTGTCACAAGTGACCAGACTGGTGGATTTATAATTGGCTATTAATTTGAAATAACAGATTCTGTTCCTGATATCACTGACTTTAGTAAGAGTGAGTGAGCAGATTACGGGCATGGTGATTATTGATTCAAAGAAAAAGACAATGATCTCTGTATCTGGTGGTCACAATAACAGGGTAGTTAGTATAGGAAAGCAGATATTTACTCACTTGCCCAGTAAATATTACAGAGAGATCGCATGCCCTAACATTTCAAGTCAGGAAATTGGAGAAAAGTAGCAAAACTGTAGAGTATATTTTTTAGTCTCCAATATGTTATTACTTTTTCAGAAATTTCTGTTGAAGTAACCAATAGTACAGAAAACCCCAGCACCCAGCCCTGAGCAAATTCTATTGGCAAATTACGTTCAAGATGTTTGCTATCAAAGTTATCACATGGGCTGCGGACACTAATTAAGAAATAATTAATTAATCACGTTATGTAATCACTGTAAGAAAAGCCAAAACAGTCTGCAGAGAAATATAATCTTAATTAGCACTGGAGTACACCATGCCCTGTACTGTACATACCACAAAGTGAATTCTCTAAATGAAGAAAATCAAAATGCTCAAGCTTTTTCCTCATAATTCAATATCCTGTCTTTAAAACTTCAAAATCTTCTAGAAATTCTATTTTGGAATACAACGCTCTGCTTGCTTACTGATTAAGAAGTTGAAATATACAGGAATGAAAAACTACACGATCTACGTACTTATACATTAATTATCATTTATTATAACCATCACTCAGGGGATCTTATAACGATTTTAACAGCAATATGATCAACTTGATACAATTAAATAATTAAGGCAAGTGCCATAATAATAATAATCATCCATACTATTCCTGTAAAATATCTTTAATTACTGCTTCATGAACTTACATATTTTCATTACAAGGTCCTTGTTGATCCTGATTATTATTAAAAAATTCAACACCTTGTAAGTAACACCACAATGGATTCTTATCAAAACTATGTTTGTTGAATAAACATCTGATGGTGTTGAAGATAAAAATCTATCATTTACATACAGCCCCAGTCCTGTAATCTAAATACAAGCTAAGCCTTGAGATAAGAACAAACCAGAAATTAATATTTTGAATATTTAAACATGAAAACAATTAGAAGCAAATACCAGGAACACTTTCAGCAATCTGTTGTAACAAACAAGCAGGAAATTAAAAATCATCAAATTCTGAGAAGCTGTCAAAGTTGATCTTGCAATCTTGCATTGTTTACACAAAGAGAAACATGAAGTTCATTGTGATCATGGTTTCAATCTGGGAATCATGCCGTGTGGAATATAATCTCTTATTTCCCAGACAGCAGGTCAAAATAATGCCATAGCAAATCATCATTGTCTATAGCAGTGTATAACTTTCACGCAATGAAGAATCACAGCAACAAGTGGTGAAACACTTGAGTTTCTCTCTCAGAAAATACAAGGAGCAGTTTATGTTTCTGCCAGCTCGTACTTCAAAAGGGCTTTGGATAACATTTCATGTCAAGATATTTCACATCAACTATGGATGTCCTCACAACGAGAAATGAGTTTATATCATTTATAGTCTAAATAGAAGACAGTCTTGTTTCAACTTGACCTATCGTCACCTCTTTTCCCTTTATGTGCAAGAAATGTGCAAGAAATGTTCATGAAATGGACAACGCTGTACGTTACAACTGTAAACGCGGAAATGATGTTTCTAAATGGCATGAAAATATAATTTCAGCTGTCGTTCCAATATCATTGAATTTGTAACAAACCAATTACTACCCAAAGAAAAGTGAACTTCACTTGAACAACAGATATGTTGGTAGAAGGTAATAGCTTTAGACGCACTTGATTATAACGAAAGGTTTGCTTAGATCTTCGATTCTTTTACCCTATTCCACTTTTGAACTTACGGGTCCAGAAATAATTGCACATTAACATGTATGCACACACACAAAAGAAGTCGATCTTATTTCACGAATGACAGCACAAGAATTCTATGCTCAAGACATGCTAAAACTGGGTTTCGGAACCTGCATGGCCTTTTCTAGATCATGCAGCCGACAAAAATAAAACAAAGAGAATACCGACTTTTTATCATGAATAAATCTTACAAAATAAACAATGCTAAATATTCTGAGCTGTGTAAACTGCTGTTAAAATAGGTTTGACAAGACGTTTTTTTTATTTTTTATTCGCATGTATAAATTCCATAGGAAAGCACATCTCGAATTTTAATACAGTCAGATTTGTACCTACATGACAGCCTGTTTCGCTCGTCGCGCATTCGTTCGATGTTTCACTAATCAACTTTACCTCCTTTTCCGCAAACAGAATCGAAAGATAAAGTTTGTCGAATAATCAACATTCGATCAATGGTAAAGTCGCTTAGTAAACGAACATAGGAGAGAACCTTAGCTTAGTCTCTGCCTCGCTTCACTAGCTGACTTAACTTGCCATATCTTTTTCTACGCTACAACCAGCCATGCAATTTCATCTCATCTAATTTCCACAAGGCCTGAGAGGAGCCAATGGAAGGATCGGGCTAAACCAAAAAGACTAAACAACGCTGAATGAACACGACTTTCAAGTCTTACCTCAGCTCTTTTCAACATCTCCCATTTGTTCAGAGTCTTCATGGCAAAAATTCTATCATTTGACTTCATGCGAACTACGGTAACCTAGAAAAAGGAATAGACGAGAGTGGGAGAAGTTTCACGTGTAAACGGATTAGAGAAGACCATTTTAGCCAAACGACACTTCCTATACATGTACCTCTCCGAAAGCTCCTTTTCCGATAAGGTTCAACGGATCGAAGTCTCCTCGCCGCAGTCGAAGTTCCTTGATTTTCGTTGCCACTGGTTTAACTGAAAATAAATCGACAAAGGTCTCAGTAAGCGCGCAGAACAAGACTTCTCTCCTTAATGGTATAAAATCCTTACCATGCTCAATAAATTCACTGACATTCTTGTCCCTACGCAGAGTGGAGTTGCAACATTCATCGTACAACAGTAGCAAAACATCTAACAAAGTCTCTACGCTATAAGAGCCTTTCTCTTTGCCGCCATAGGAGAAAAGGCTTTCGAGTTGCTTGAGTCTCTCCTCAGCTGCCTCAGTAGCCATAATTTCTATTGTCCTTCAGGCAATTACCGATTGATCTAGTAGGGCGGACTACCACGTAAATTCGCAAGAATATTCCACACCGCTTCCAAATTGCTGCGGCATACTGAAGTCGAACAAGCGTCAAGGGATTCCTCAAGTGCCTGGAAGTCAAAGCAAATTCCTGAAGCTAAGCCACCGTTTGGAAACCCTGGCCTTGAAAGATATCATAAAATGAGTAAAGCTTGAACTTTTAACCAATCTTCGACCGATGTTCCTGCGCAAAAACAATGCATCAGATGCTCTCGAAGAAAAGTCGGAAATATGGCCGATGAACCGCCAGCTGCATCATGGGAAAGCCAAGCCTAACATACCGGTGACGTAATGTCATAAAAAGCCACATGAGAACTCTGGGTACTTTTACTACTGACTGAGCTATGATTAGTACTATAAAGTACGTAATTAGTTTTTAAAATCAATAGAGGTCACTTTTGGGGATAAAACAACCGGTAACCCATGAATGTGGGAAAGAAATAACATCCAGAAAATTCTGCGACTTAAAGTGCATCGTGAGACTATTCGTTGCTAATCATTAACGTCCCCTTCCGGTTGTGACAAGTATACTCCGTACACACTCAAACTACTTCCGGTCACAAATATTAGTTGTTTGATTTAGTATTTCGAGAAAAAAAGACAAAAAAGCATTCCATGCCATATTTTAGCTATGAATTGTAACTTGACATTGTGTCAAAATTTTCTCATAAACTTCTCCAAGTTTTCAACTTCCGACATAAAACTAGTGGTTCACTCGAAAAGAAACCGAAATGCTATTTGTCCTATTTCCTTTCACGTAATGCACCAAGAATTTTTAAGAATTTTAAATCTGAGCCAAAACATAAAAAAACGTGATCCTCACACTTCCGCCTGCACATGTTCTAATTGTCTTTCTCTCCAGACTTTCCGATAATTATATCTGTCATATGACTCATTTGTAATTGTCACCGAATACTGTTCTCCAATTCAAAATCAAATCTTATGGTTGGATTAGGTATGTTTTAGATTTCCGGAGCTTCTCGCACAATATAGTAGAACGATGCTAAAAGCAGATGCAATCCTTTATAAGGATATTCGAGTTTCTTTTCGACATCTTCCTGTATCGCTTCTTCTCACTGAGCTGATGAACAACTTCGTAACCATAGCGCTTTTCCTCTGAAAGTGCGCGTCCTTCGAACTTTCGAAAGGTTGCAATGAGGTTGGACCCCTTCCAGACCCGAATGTTGTTGTTGTTGTTTTTTTTTTACCCAAAGCAAAATCCATCATTAAGACGCTCCTCCGAAAATCATGGGGTACTTCCCATACTGTACCATTCGGGGAAGCTTCACCTAAAAGAGGTACTTTTTTAAGCCCGGAGCCGTATAAAAGGGAAGTTATTTTACGAGTTGAAGTATATAAAAGGGAGGGAAAACTGACAACTAGGCATTCTGAAAAAAGCTGTTCCCAATATCTAGAACCAAAACTACTAACGGCAGTCATTTACATTGTGAAGGAATGTTCAATCGAAGAGTTTACAGAACGGGAGAAAGGGGGTCATTTTCTATGGAAGGTATATGGCAGGGTCTTTTGTGTAAAAATTGGAATTTTACGACGTGCAATTAGTCGTTAAGTCAAAACAGATGTAATCAATTAAAATTCGGATTCACCTCTGTTATACAGAAGTGATTAAATATCGGGCAGTCTAAATGACAGACCATACTGTTAGTAAGAGATCTGAAATAAAATTATTTGGGAATCTGTTTATTAATATCGGGTAAATTTTTGAAGCCACGCAAACTGAGCAGGAGGTAAAGGAGAGAGAGTCTGGGACCGAGGTTTCCACCTGTTAATTACTTGAACTAAGAAACTAGGACAATGTGTGGTAGCCTAAAATGTCGAGATGACTGACATTGCAGCCTAAATGTGTGGCTGAAATTAAAGCCAGTGGATTCAGTTGCCGCTGCAACTCCTAGCTTGGGGTAGATTTGTTGCGCATTAAACACGCCCCGAGTAGGATTTGAGTCCTTCACACGAGTGCACCCACAAAAAATTGCAGAGGGCCCAAAAATGCCAATTATCCCACCTCCGCCCCCCCAAAACCCAATCCCCCCTACCTCGCCACTACGTTCTGTACTGACTGTTGAATCATAACGCTCTGAAAGAGTTCTTTGGAAATTTAGAACCACTACTGATAAGGAGTGAATAGGGCTGAAAAGAGGAAGAAATTAATTTGAAAACAAAAATTATCTGTCTGAGTACTGGTCCTTCTCCCATTCTGACACGGGGAACTTCAAGGCATCCCGTCAAAAGTCCAGTCGGAACGGAACTATCTCTCATCCGGCATCCATAATTGTGGAAATAATATAAGGAAAGTGATTAAAAATTTACCTTAATGTGCTTTTTACAAGCCGCAAATGGTTAGCAACTTTTCGGGTTTGTTTTTTTTTTTTTAGCGACTTTTGAGAAATCTAGACTAAACAGGTCCAAAAACATATAGTCTTTTACTGCGGCACTTGCCCATACGTGAGGACACAAAACTGGTCAGAAGGGCCGTCACGAAAACTTATCGTGTGAGATCGTGATAAGGAGCTCTTTGGATAGATTAGTTAAACCACAATACAGAGGAGTGTAATTAAAGGTCAATAAAATGTCTCTTAATCGGCCAAGCGTCTAAGATTAAAAACATGTATTGTCTCCCCGGCCTCTTATCGAGGTCTATGTGGCGGCGCCTAGCCTGCTAGCCGCATATGAAGATACCGTGGGAGAACTCCCAGAAAATGTGGGTGGGGGTGTGCCTCCCAAAACCCTTACCTTGTTTATGATCAAAATCTGCAATTTTCTCTACCCTATTTATGACCTGACCAAAACTTTTATACCCTGTCAAGAGAAGACCCTGTTTATGACCTGACCGTTTAATCAATACCCTGTTTCAGACCTACCTTATGATTAGTTACCAAGTTAACACCGATGTTAAAGGCATTGTGAAGGGCTTTTGTTGACAGTCTTATCGATAATGATGAAAAAGTGGCTTCTTCTAAGAAACATATCCGATTCAAGACTAGAGTGCAAAAACCATACCCCATTTATGACAAAAATAATGGCCAAATCGATGCCTTATTTCTGACCAAAACGGCTGAGAAACCATTCATATCCTTTGGGGCCACACATACCAATATAAGGGAGAACCCCCCGGGATGAAGATCAATCTACTCAGTGTTCAGCCTGCGCAGTGTTGTCATGAATTAAAGGCTGGATGTAGCTGCTGATCTGTCGGTCTTGAAAACATGTCGGTAACTTTACTGTCGGTTGCTGAAAAGACTTTGCGCTTAGCTCGTTTTGGCGCCGAGCGCGTCAAAACAACGACTGACTTGATATCGGTTTTTGCGGCTTCTTAGGCCGGCGCGGGCCACCTCAGTGAGAATTTGACACGAACCCTCGTGAGAACCTTACGATGCGCATGTCTACATCAGCAACCGACCATTATTTTTTGAGGAGGGGGGGGGGGTGGGGAAGTAAATTCTCCCCCCAAAATTTCCTGCACAGTAAAAGCTGCTGAAACATTGAAAAATCATGCAAGGAGAGCCACGAGAAAAAAATCGAGCAAGTTCTTTCCAATATCATTATTTTGATTTTTGATGTTAAAAAAATTAATTGCACAAGCTATTGCCCAGCAAAAAACACAATCCTGCCAAACCTTAAGGTGAGAAAAAAATTTCGTGCCCCAGAAAATTGCCCAGCCCCGCCTCAAAAATGGTCCGTCCCTTATCAGTAGAGACCGACTTGAATATCGATCGAGACTAATCCAATACTGCTAACATGGGGTTTCAGATACTGACGGTATGATGTTTAGGTGTAGCGGAAGAAATCCTGCTAAAATCCGTGGGATGCAGATCTGACAATGAGGACATCAACTTTTTCCCTGCTGCGTTTTGCAGCAAATGAGGAAACTCGATAACTGTGGCGCTCTGTGATGATAGGCTGCTGGCAGGCAGTCTCGCGTCTCGTCCCAATCCAGCGACCTCGCCTCATATTCGAGAGAGAAACAGACAGTCAGCAGTCTCACTTTCATTTATCATTATGAGCCTCAATCCGAACAGTTTTGAAACAAGCTCGTTCATCGATGCATAAGTTGTGATTGTCGGACGGAAGCATGAAGGTCGGCACACACGAAGGGACTAATCCCGGGAACTAGTCCCTGCAAGTAGTCGCGGGCTCAAGTCTCATCGTGTGAACTAGCCATTTCTACCACAAATTCTAGTCGCAGGGAATGAAATTTGGTCCTTGCGACTAGTCCTACGAATCCAAACTGGTTTGAATTTTTGGGACAAGTCCTTGCGACTTGGTCCTCAAAACGCTTCGTGTGAACTGTCCTTGGGACAAGTCCCTCCTACCAGTCACTTCGTGTAAACTCTTCAGGGGACTAGTTGAAGGAAGTAGTCCCCTCGTGTGTGCCGACCCTAATCTAACATCTTCATGGAAGATGTTCAGAGACTAGACTGGGACGTTGGAACCCCAGTTACCAGTTAAATTTGATTTCTCGTCTATGATTTTAACCAGAAGCATATCATAAGTTTGTTTAAACGATCTATAGACTCTTGGATACTCTCTCGGATCCAGACTGCATGCAGGTTTCGCACCAAAAAGGAGCATTTCTTTACCATCAATCAAATATGCATTTCTTTTATTTCTCCCGTGGTATTGGTCTAAATAAGTCACGTGACGCACCCAAGACTAGAGGACTATTTTCCGCAGCCTTCAAAAATCCGAGGCCCTTCGCCTCCGACCACGTGAACCGAAAACGATTGACCGGGGGAATCTCTCAGGCATTTCATTTGACACATGACCCAAGCTTAGCTATCTTTAACAGGAGCTTTACCTTGTAAACAGGCTCCCCTACGCCGAGAAAAGGAGAGGTGTTGCGACTCCTTCCTGATTCACGCGAACGAGAATTATCAACCTCAGATCACACCACAACAAAAAAACTTTATTATAAGTCAGTTGACGGCATATTTCGTACAAATACTCAAAATGACATATAAGAAGTAAATAATTCTTTACTTTGTCACCAGTCAAGTTTTTTTTTAATTTTTATTTTACAACGACTCGTGGCTTTTCTAACAGTATTACGATTGTCGCTTACGGTTTTACTAGTGAAGGGGGAGGGGGGGGGGAATTACAGGAAAACGTTTTGGGGAGGGGTTAGAAGTGTTTGAAACCTCAACACAACAAATAAACTTGGCTTTGCCAAGTACATATCTACCTCGAAATATCACGTTTTCCAGACAGAAAGCTGTCTTGATCAAGAACTTAAAATACAAAACTACCACTTTTATTACCATTCGAATGACCGGCTTGCGTGATTGTTCAAGTCTTTAAAAGTTACTCATCAACAGTAATGCCAGGACATCAGCCTAGCGGCATTTGAACTAACTGTACACTGTGCCTACGGAGTTCACTTTCGGGGCATATCCCACCGATTGGGAGCACTTTAGGATTTTCTAGTTCTTTGCTGTTTGCCTATTTCTGAGTGGCTTGTCTCCTGTTTGATTTCATTCAACTGCTTGCAAGTCACCACTATGACAAGAATTTTGCATCAGATTCAGCAAGGAGGGCTTCTAAAGTCCTAGTCATTCCTTTGAGGGAAGAAATTCTGTAGGGAGGAAACACCACATTTTAGTTGTAGTCCCGCAAAAAACAAACAAACAAACAAAAAAAACAACATAAAAGACTCAGGAGGTACTCTACAAAGTTGTGTACAGGAAGGCTCCTCCCCAAGGTCCATTTTGATGGAAAAGGTACCCATTTCGTATATCTTTTAGTAAAAAAAGGTTCCCCTTCCATGAACCTACTTAAGAACACTGCATCACTTTTCTGAACACCTGGAATGAAGTGGAGAACACCAAGCAACACCAGATAAAGCCACAAGGTGCATCAAAATTTTAATAGGCCTCTACCCCTATATATACCTGAAACCTAGGAAAGGTACCTCTTTTGGAAAGAGCCTTCCCGTATAGGCCATGTACAGGAAGTACCCCCCCCCACTCCCACCCCCCGGGAACACCAGGACAAAGTAACACAGCAAAAATCGAGGAGATCAAAACCCTGCCTTTTTGTCCCTTCATTTTCCGTCCCTTCTTTGTCTTGCCCTATCTAACTGTCCCTGGGTCTCCGAGGATACAAGATATTCTGCCATGAAGCCATCTCTTGATTTAATCATGCTGCCAGCTGTATGTTTGGACATGTGTTTGTGTGTGCAAAATATTAATTTAAATTTCCTTTCCAATCAAATCCATTTCACAACAAAAAGAGCAAGGTGTTCAGAAACATGTAAACGGATCGATGACTACATAATTATACATAGTTTGATTTTATGTCATCGACTTCATCCACAAAATTTCATTTACGTGACAACTTGACTTAAGCATAAATGTTATGTTTTTATATATTATTTTGGAATATTCCAGATAGAATAAAGTAATTGAAGGCTTTCGTTCAAAAAGGGCGTATATAACATTTTGGGCCGATTTTTATTTTTTGCAGGATCAAGCTAATTTTTGGCAGAGTGACTTTTTTTGACGTGAAAAACATCGTTGTGTAATTGTTTTTGTTGATTTGTGATTAGTTTTTGAGAAATAATGTATGCAAAAAACTTCAGTTTTCCAAGCGGTATCTTTGCATGAAAGCCTTCAATTATTTCCTTTAGCACATCATATTACAAAATAACTATAACACCCCCACTCCCAACAAGGAGCTATTTCTGAAAGAAATGGTCTTTCATTACCTGAATGATTGGGGTGTTAGAAACACTTCTGCACGTTTACACACCACATTGTTTCATTTGGCTTGGAATCACTTCGGTCGTCAAAACTTTCAATTTTCGACATATCTAAATTTTATTTTGTGTTTGTGATGATCATTTAAGCAATATGTGAACAGCGTGTGTTCACCAGTTTATTTGTCTAGTTAGAACATGTTTACATTGCCAATATGCCATGTTCAATATATCAATATTTTAACATGGCTCTGAGGTTTTCGGGTCAAAATTGTAAATTTTTTAAGTTTCTTTTGTCTCTCAAGTCCCAAAAGAGACTTGAATACGAAGAAAACAACACCAAATATAGAATTTTGTCCTGAAAGCCTTGGAGCCATGTTAGAATATTGATATATCAAATGCGGCCTATTAAAAAATATATATATATTGCCATTGTGTAAGCAGTCTATCCTAATAGCCAAGACAAGAAAATTTTACAAGTTCTGTGGGGATGCCATAAAAGTGTTTTACAACAGCTAAAAATGTTAAGGCTCTTTTAGGAAATATGATTCTCACCTTCTACTTGCTGTCTCTAGTCTCATTTCCATAAAACCTACTTCTGACTGCAGTCGAATCTGCTCTATTTTAGCTTTATCACTGTCATTTGAATAGCAGCTACTTTCTTCCCAAAGTTTCTGTAGCTGAAACACAACAGCAAACTAGTGAGAAAATCTCAGATAGTGCAGAGTGTAATTTACATCTCTGATGCAGTAGTCACACAGATCCTCACCCCTGCTGTTCTCTCCCTTGGTAGTCACCTTTTCCCCTTTGCAGAATATGAGCAGACAAAAACTTGATAAGACATACTCTTAGCTGTGTGTATGTTTCATGTTTGTATTTTGCCCAAAAATAACTTACAATTACCGTTTGTCAAGACGGTTTTAAATTTATTGTGGTATTTTATCTTGAGTTTCATTCATTTTGTAGCATTACTTT